GGTTTCCCTCAGTTTACGTGAAGTGTGTTTCTTCACATGTTAAAAAGTTTAATTTGATTTAATTTTAAGTAATTATTACTACAATTTGCGTTAAATTGTTAAAAATGTTTTATTTAACGTGTACCACTAGCGTAATCCACAGACATGTTTTGTTTATTCATATTTTTAATATGCGAAATTTATTAGTTAAAATATCTACTTTTAAAAGTGCATTTTAAACCGTTACAAGTGTTTTATTTAAATGTCTACTACTCGCGTAAACTACAGACAGTAGACATAATATTAGTGGTTCTGCGTAAAACTTGTTTTTTTTAGAACTAAGAAAGTTGATCTCCTTGTTCGCAGAAACCTCACTGATAACACTTCTCAGTACTGAATTGATTCGCTGTCTCAATGGACTGGTCAAATGTTATCTCATATTTCAAAGTAGTTGACTATTTGTTTGTCTAAGTGCTTTAATTAATTTTAACGTATGTGGTAGCTTTTAATCAGAGATCAAACCTTGAAGAAATTACAAAAAAAATCTTTGGTAAGATGGTATTTATTTTAGAAATTATTTATTTATTTACACACACAAATATATGATGCCATTACAGAATAAATCCAATTTGACAGTACTAATATTAGGTACATAGTATGAAAATATCCGAAACGTCGAGTCATAAATAAAACATTATAAATTGACACATTTCGCGTCTTAAACCGTTAAAAATGTTGTATTTAAATACATTTTGAAGGTCGTTATTCAGGCAGGACGATTCTGCGATATTTCAGAAACCTATATCTGTCACCAATAGCGATAAAATTTTAATTTTTTAGTAATAATTATAGAAAAAAAATTTTCGTGTATAATATTTCTGTTTAAAAAAACATGATTTTTTAAATTTAAACAGATATTTAAACTTGAAGTATACATATAACATTATATCGAATAACATAATACATATAAATATAACTTTGTCCGGTTCATGAACCGCCGTCCATAGATGAAAATGCCGTGAAGGTGAATCGCATTTTGGTTCCACAGCCCATCTTGTTTGGATGTCATATAGCTGAAGTAACTCACCAAAAGCCCATTCTGCTCTGCAATTATCTATTATAAAGAAATGTGATTTAAACTGTGTTTACACTAGAATCTTTCAACATATGTTTTGAATATATCAAACGACGTGAAAGGTTCAAGATGAAAAGCATTCGTTGAATGTAAATTGTAGTTCAACAATTGTCATCTAATAATAAATAGTTATTTTTACAGCGATATTGGCAATGCACCTAAGAATGATTTAGTTGGTATTAGGGTGTTATTACAAACTTATTTCGGGCCATATTTTGACTGGACACGTTTCTTTAATGAAATATTACTAACAGATATTTCATTCATTTCATTTTATATCATATATTTACTATTAAATTATGCATGTTTCATAAACAATACGTAAAATTGAAATCTCTAATATTTACTCATTCTAAATATATAAATCTATTAATCTTATCTGGCGTAAAATTGTCTTAAACACAAATAATTACGTTTCTATTAAATAAGATAACACTCGCGAAGTTGGAAAGAAGAAAAATCTATATGTATATTATCTGTTCTGTCGGAATGTAAGACTATATTTTTCGGAATTAGGTGGTAATCGAACCCACGACGCATCGAATATTAGCCATAAATTGATCCCAATGGGTCAACAATGCCTGTAGATGGCTGTAAAACACAATATTTCTTGTGAATATAGCTCTGATATTTATAGTTAAAAGGCTAAAATTATACCTAATTTATTATTTCATAATAACTCCTTACAATATGTATACAGATCTAGATTCTAATATAAATAAAAATAGCCTTGAAACACATCTTCATTCTAGGTTTAAGTTAAGTATAAAATACGTTTAAATCATTAGACGAAGGAAAAAAGTAAAAAACGTTTTTTTTTAATATCATTTACGATGTTTTTGTTTTAAGCAAATGAAATGGCAGGTTCGAATAAAATAAGACGCAGTCAGACCGGTTTTATGATCCACGTGCCTAATGTTACTCTATAAGTAACTAATATGAGTGTTTTGACGGGTTCATTGGTTCAATGAAAGCAATGTATACCAATCAAAGGGTCGTAGGTTACATTCCCGGTGTATAGTTAATAGTGAATTTAGTTGTAACACAGCCACTAGATGGCGCTGTTTGGTTTTTTATCGTTTTGGATCGCGGTGATAAAGTGTTTGTTGGAAAGTGTAAAAATCAAACAGCGCCATCTAGTGGCTGTGTTACAACTAAATTCACTATAAACTATACACCCGGTCCAACGCGTCGCTAAGGATGAAATGTTCCTTGTTTGTGGTGTAATGTCAGCAATGTATCGCTTCTATATTTGTCAGGAAATCTGGATATTATATGGGTGGGAGGAAGGTGTCCACAGATAAAAAAGCCGTCAAGTTTAATCGCGTCTCGATATTATATGTCTGTCCTACTCTATTAAAAAAAATAACTCAAATCCTTTCGAAACTTATACACCTCTGGAAAATCTGAATATTAAATGGTTTAAACCATAATGCACTGGTTAAAATGTCGTGACGTGTTAATCCAGATTCCAGTCTGTGGATTTAAAACCAAAATATGTCGGTAACACATCTCGCTGCGATTTGATGTTTCTTAAGGAAAATTCCTATTAAAATGGCTTCGTATAACATGCAATAGTCTGGGTGGCAATGTGTGTTGATAACTGCTTTGTTGTCCAATCTTACGACCTACTTGGCTCATACAAAAGAAGTGTCAACGTGAAACTAATATTGCAGTGCTGAAGAGTGCGTTCTGTTGCCAGTGCTAGACTAAATTTCAGTTTTTATGATTGAGGAAAGCGTAATAACCCAGCCATATAATATCTAATACTATTTACGCCTTGGATATTCGGAAATCCACTGACTGAAATCCTGACTGAGACGTGGCTGCTTCTGTGGTCGGTGGTTCGTTACCATTCGTTATTTTGATATTGCTATAATCAAAAAAAAAAATGGGTTTTAATATGCAGAATTTCCAGACGAAGTCCAACGTGTTTCTTATCACTACATAGTACAAAATAAAGTCCTTTTCTGTCCGTGCGCATAAATCTTTAAAACTACGCAATGGATTTTGATGCGGTTTTTTTTAAATAGATCGGTAATTAGGAGGAAGGTTTGTATATAAAAAGCTCACAGTTTTTTGGTAGTGTATTTAGTATCAACATTGCACCCGAGCAAAACCGGGGCGGGTCGCTAATGAATTATAAATTAAATTAGAAAAATTATGGACCACGTCTGGATCGAAGCCACGATTCTCTACCATACACACGAATGAAAAAACCCGTTAAAACAAAATCAAAATTTATCTACGTTAGATGTTTTAACTGAAATTTCCTAAGGGAGTGCATAGCTTGAAGAAGCATTATTCCTTAGAGAACTTTTGAGAGAAATTGTTTCTATCTAATAAAAAAGACCACTAACCTGACTCATAATACATAAAATGCCAACAAATGATAGACGTTAAAAAAACACTTACGGTAAAGCATGTAAAAAAAACTTCACAGTCGAACTTATTTGAAAAATTTTAATGCTGGAAGCTTTGCAGCACCCTGGCACAAACAAACTTAAAACTAAGGAAACTATAGACAGTTTTATTGTCACACAACAAGAGCATGTTTGTGGCACCCCCCCAAAATAGAGACAAAAACACAAAAAAAAATAGTTTAATTTCACACAAGAAATTACAAATAAATTTAAATTAAAGAAATTAAAAAAAATAGAGAATTGATAAATGGAAGATATGTAAGCGTAAAATCCCATTTTCCCGATTGGACTTGGGACGATTACATTTCTGCGCCCGCTTCACTGATAATTTTTTATGCTAATGTATCAATTGAACAATTTTGATTCTCCAGGACTTGATCCTATCGCCCCATTTGACCTTACCTATCGATCAGCTAGTTTTTAGCTACACGATTATAATGTGTACTCTTAATATAATGTAGGAAATGCTATTGAAGAAATGTTACTTGCATACTCAGTAGCAGAGATAGCACGGGGCGCCTCTAGTTATTTTAATTGAGATCAATTGTTTTAAATTCTCTAGCACTCCAAAGAGTAACTATGCTTGAAAAAATGTAATATGCGTAGCACGGAACGCTATGGTCGGCAGTTTCAGTAACTGCCATATCATAATACTAGCTGCGTCAGCGACTATGTCCGCGAGAATCGTTAGTAGTTAATCTTAATAGATAGATCAACTACTAACGATTCTCAGGATTCTTTTTTTCGATCATTTAAAGAGGAATCATTCTTTCATACATATTTTTTTTTTGTGTATCTCGCATCGTTTTTGCAGCGTACGCCTCGGGAACCCATACTGATTTATAATTTTTTGCAATTTTTTTCACATTTCTCGCTGTATCGCCGCTTTTATTACTCAACTAATTTTAGTATAGATTATTGCATTCTCCAATAAAACCAAAGCTATTTCTATCAGCTAAACTGCGAACAGCATATAATCATTGACCAAACGTCTCCCGTGATTCTCATAGTTAGATCTCCCAGGTGCATTGCAACATATGCAATGACGACAGGAATTAGACGATTATTTATTAGTAGCTATAGGTCACGCTGATGCGTAGAAAGATGCGCGTGTCGCAATCACTTCTCCGAACAACTCCCCAAACGTACCTGAGACGAATTAGACACATAAAACAAGAAATAGGAAGCCTTACAAACTATAATCTAATGCATAAAACTCATTCACAAATACTAAAAACCACAAAATATATTTGAACCAACATGCGCGCGCACCACTATACGGCTTCGTTTGACACAAAAACAAGGAAACCATTGCGATCTCATTTAATGGCAGTCGCGAACACCTAAAACGTAAAGGTGTACCGTACTTAATTCCCAACTGTGCTCAGAAAATATTTAATACAGGAGATATCATCGGGCGTCGAGTCCAGGGGGCTGGACTATAAATAGAAATTTCACGTGTAATGGAGAAAGGTGATCGTGTTTCAGAGTATTTATTCGCTAAGATGGGGCCAGGGGATCGAGGGCCGAAGACCACGGAGGACAGGGAGGCACCGGTGGAGTACACTGGAGTGAAGAAGTGGTTCGTGGACAACACGTTGCTGGTTGTGACGTTGGCTGGGGTATTGAGCGGAATCGCTGTAGGTCAGTGGGACGGTTTTAATTAAGTTTACATATGTATAGTCACTAAAATACTTACAATTTTAAATAATTACAAGACACTAAAATATGTCTCCTTTATGAGGCACACGAAGGAGACATATTTTTGTGTTCAAAGTACCGATTTTTTTGAGTTAATCAACCTGTGCGCACTCGAAAACAGATTTTTGTACTTACGTAAACCCGTTTTTATTAGTAAAAAAAAATTATTTATTTAAGTTTACCTGTAAAGTGGCTACAACAAGTCAAGGCTCGTAGGTTGACACCAAAATATGTCTGCTTTGTATGAGGCATATGAAGTAGACATATTTTTGTGTTCAAAGTACCGATTTTTATTAGGCCTCTCAGCCTGTGCTGACTATATCAGTCGACATTTTTGTAGTTACATAAATCCGTTTACGTAAGTACAAAAATTGCTTTAATTAAGTTTACCAAATAGGTATATGAGGCTGCTGGAGGCAGAGAGGCCTAATAACGAAAAAATTGATTTTCACTATTGAGGAAAATAAAAATGCGCAATAAACTTGGCGAAAATGAATTTGTACTATTATTTGTGTGAGAATTATGTTAACAATTTTCGGTCTTGTAGATTTACATATTTAGACTATAAAAATATAAATAACTCAAGGCATATCATGTCAAGTCTTCATATAGTAGCTAAAATTTTATATAATTACAAAAGTTAAGCCTCCGAGTTTACACAAAAATATGCCTGCTTTATGTACGAGGCAAGAAGCAGCTATATTTTTGTATCCGATGAATATCGATAGTGAAATATCGATTTTTATTAAGCTTATAAACCCGTGCTGTGCTCGGTGGACATTTTTCAAGGTCGAAAAGTTTCAAATAAAAAAAATCGTTTATATAAATTTTATAGTTAAGTAAAGAGGGTAGAAGAAAACATGAGTATTACAAAAATTTAGATACCTACATAACACCTTGTTATTTATTTTAGAAAATATAACATTATTTTAAATTAAAATGTATAGACTCAATAGAAATAATTTCCTCGTTGCGGAAAATGAAAACTCGCTGATATTTTTTAAATATCGAAGGAAAACAATGGCACTGCATTTTCCACGTTTTATCGTCTGTAACTATAGATAAGCTTTATCCTACTTTTAAAATTTACCCTTTGTAGCGTTATCTATAGCAATATTATGAATCACGTAAACGGTTCAAGGCTTTTGCGACCATTTTGCGCTGCCGCTTGGGTTTTCGAGCTGTTAAGCTATTTTTATCTACGGTTCTAAACATTTCGCCACACGCCATTCTTCGTGCTGGCGATACATCGTAGCTGTTACGAAGTTTGTGACGTTAGAAGGTTAAGTTTAGGTTTTGGTATAATAGTGGCGCAAAGACGTAAGTTGTAAATGATTCGGTCATTTTATAATGAAAACGTTTAGTCGTGGGACACTTTGGGTTCGTGTCACTGATTGATTCTTTCTCACGCAAGCAGCTAATTAGACTTTGTGCCTTGCCCGACCGAAACAATGTTTTATCTCCCTATGATTCGAACCCAAGACGGCTCTCGCTTAAAGCAATGTTAGACAACACGTGTAACCCCTTTGGCCTTAAATTCTTTCTACATTACAATATGGAAAAACAAACTTAAGCCACGGTGGCAAACATCAACCGAAGAGATTTTGTTGAATAACTTAAAAAAGTCTTAGAAACCACTAGTCTACATTTAAAAATGATAAACATATTATCATACTATAAAGAATTAAGTCCAGGTGGAATGTTTCTTTTTGGGTTGGCATTTGATTCTTCAAAAAGGCTTTCCACTTAGTTTTACCTAATAATTTAACAAAAATAACGTCGCTTACGGAGTGTCAGACCTAACATCAGATTAAACGTGGCAGATTTTTTTCAATATGAAACGAAAACACGATAGCGTTCAAAACTGCTTTGTCTCGGGCCACAATCGGAATATTTTAACTTTTGTCGCGGTGTTGCGATGCTAATGACACTTCAAATGTGGAAATCCATTATGCCTTTTTGTTTGTGGAGCGTGCCAAGACTCATACAAACATACAGTATGTATACATACTTAGACTAAGTGTACTCCAGATGTATAATTTTAAACCGAGCCTTAAATTTTAAAATATATATTACAATTGTATTATTTTGCACTATAGATTATTATATATACTAGATTATATTGTAACTACTGTCTGTAGTTTACGCGAGTAGTACACATTAAAACCGTTAGTGTTTTATTTAAATGTGGACTACTCGCGGGTATAATTAGTATATGCATTGTTACGATTAGACTAGTGAGCTCATATTTTTTTTTAGGATTCGGTCTAAGACCATACCACCTGGGACCAGATGCTCTAATGATCATTTCATACCCTGGCGAATTATTCATGAGATTACTGAAGCTGATGATTCTACCACTGGTGATAGCGAGTTTGATAGCTGGGTCAGCGAGTCTTAACGCCAAAATGAGTGGAAAGATCGCTCTTCGGACGCTGTCGTACTTTGTTCTGACGTCGATGTTCAATGCGTTCTTCGGAGTACTCCTGGCTGTGCTGGTACACCCAGGGGAGTCTTATTTGAAGGAGAACAGTGGCCCTGCGGTGGTGAAGCGAGATCATAATATATTGGATAGTTTGCTTGATATTGGTCGGTAAGTTTAACAATATTTAATTATTGCTAATCGTAAAAATCTATAACATTCGATTACACATTTAAAAAAAACCACGGTATACAAATATAAGTTAAACCGACAAACGCGAAGACATCGTTAATTAATTTTGCAAGGACCCGGCCAGTTTCGCCAAATACCAACTACGACGGACCAGATGGCGCTAACGCAGCGTTTTTACTTTGACATTAGAGACACCCTCCATGTTTAGTCTCCCCGTGACCATGGCTGCTGCATAGCATCCGAAACAACAGACCGTTGTTAAAATAATTATGAAAAAGGTTTAAGTAATATATTTTTTGCGTTTCAACGCAGAAAATAATTCTAAAGTACCAAATAACTAAACTAAACTTCGTTTGTCTATCCACCTACATAATACATAACAAATTCAAACGTAATCTAGACTTTTAACTCAATATATCGTAAAAGGAAACGGAAAATCAAAGCAAGTTTTTGTTTTCAGAAATATTTTCCCCGATAACATAGTTCAAGCCGCATTCCAGCAAGCTCACACAGTGTATGTGCAACCGCAGACATTATTTGCTAGTAATGGGACGGAAAATGGGACTGAACCGGCGCTAGTTAGAGTGATACAATATAGGTAACAAATATAGTCTAAGTTACTGGTACAAACATATATTTAGGTATTTCGCAGTTTCTCAAATGCTACGTAGATCAGTACAGTGTAGTGTCCACATCTTGATCAACATATTATAATATAAATAAAACAAGCTGTCTTTTAGCTCTTAGAATTATAATAGTTAACAATTTTTAATTATTCAAAATTGCAATAACTAGTTAAAGTGGACAGATTGTATTTCAATATTGCTTTTTGTGGGCGAATGACTTCAAACACTGCCTACTAGCTCCATAGCGTTCCGTGCTACTGCTGTTATATATAGATTTTTAATTTACTAATCATAAGTAGTTACAAAGATCACTGCCTCTTTGGTCTAATGTTAGCAATCTATGGTTTATAACAACGAGTCGTGATTTCGATGTCCACCGGATCCAACACTTTACTAATCAATATATATTTTATCTGAAACGTCTGGAAGGCTGGATATTAAAGGAGTGATAGGAATGTGGAAAATCTGGTGTTATATTGTTGACGTTTATTTAAATGTTATATGACAGGGGCATTTTACCTTCCATCAAGAGAACCTTGCTTGCCTATTAGTGACGTTTTTTATTGTTTATAGAACTTAAATAAAATTAATGATCTTTTTCAGATCAGGGACGAATACATTAGGTTTAGTATTTTTCTGCCTCGTCTTCGGTAGCCTATTAGGTACCCTGGGGCAGAAGGGGCAGGTCGTCGTAGATTTCTTCCAGGCCATATTCGAAGTGATCATGAAGATGGTAGCCGGAGTTATGTGGTTCACACCGGTCGGCGTTAGTAGTGTTATCGCTGGGAAGATTCTTGGCGTTGATAATGTGGGTGAGTGAGTTCAGCTACTATTGTAGATTTTTCTAGAGTTAAAACTGGAAGTTAACTTTGAAACTGGAAGTTACTTAAGCGAAATTAAATGTATTGGTGACATACACATATGTAGATCATCGTTACTAATATATAAAGCTGAAGAGTTTTTTGTTAGTTAGAATGCGCTTATCTCAGGCATTGGTTCCAATTATCTAAAAATACCTTTTATCTCACAAAAAACTGTTATGAAAAATGAATTTGGTCGAAATATTTCATATAACTAATTGAAATTTTACCAGGTCATGTTTATAATCATGATATATAATAATCGTGTATATCTATAGGCTGAATAACCTTTCTGCGTACCAGTCATTGTTTTAAAATGTGTGACGTGTCTTTTTATAATAGTAAGTACCGAACGACATCAAAGTAAAAAACTACAATGTAGTAAAGTTTCATTTGAAAACTTGTCTTGACTTATTTTCCACAAATTGCACAGGCATTATATAAATTTAAAACTTGAAAAAAAATAATGACACGGGCGGGCTTGAACCCTACATGTGATGAAACTAATGATAAATGCGTCTCTCGCGTAATGTTTTTTTTTTCAATTTTTAGAATTTTAATTGTATGCGGAACTCTAATATAAATAAAACAGTTATTTATTTCAATAAACGACACTGGTCAATATAAATAATTACGTTCCAGCTCAAGTGATGTCGCAACTGGCCTGGTTCATAGCCACTGTGGCGATCGGCGTGTTTCTGTACCAACTCATAGTGATGCAACTGCTCTATTTTATTTTCCTAAGAAGAAACCCTTATAAGTTCTATTGGGGATTATCTCATGCTATGCTGACGGCTTCCGCCACCGCGTCCACGTAAGTGTCATGTTACTTTGTGCCCGTAATATTAAGAATCGTTAATGCAAGTAGTCCTGGGTCTGGGTATATCAAGGTCCTAGTTTTCAGATGAAAAAAAAACTCAATACACCACGTCAATGTGAACACTAGCTTAAGCAAGTTTGGGCTTGTTGGTATAATGGTATAGCTAGTAAGCAACGAGTCGTCGGTTCAAACCACACCCACTCCAACATGTTTGTAATTTTGTTAAAACATTTTGCTACTGTCTATAGATTACGCGAGAAGTACACATTTAAATAAAACACTTTAACGGTTTATAACGCGATATATTAGTTAAGCTTATTTGAAAAATGATTTTTAACTTCGGCCCGACGTTCGTCTCCCCCGTGACCACGGCTGCTGCAAAGCATCCGATACCTCGGGCCGAAGTTAAAAATCATTCTTCAAATAAGTCTAACTAATATATCGCGTTTTAATTAAAGTGTTTTATTTTAAAACATTTTGGCTTCATCTGGAAATGTAAATATTAAATGGGCGGTAGGAAATTGCGAGTCACGCAACAGATGTAAAACCTGTGAAGTGTAATCCCGTTACGGTTTCAATCTGTGGATTTCCGAATATCCGAAGCCAAAACAGGTGGACATCTTGTGCGAACCCTCCGATAATTCTTGCATCTATTTAATATTAGCTTTTATAGAATAGAGAGTGTCTACCGTGGGTTCGAATCCGGCCTATATAAACAAAATAATTCTATTTCAATTTGAGGCTTCTTATATCCAGAGCAGCTGCATTACCAATAACATTCCGAGCTATGGAGGGCCCGCTGCGCATCGATGCTCGGATCACCCGCTTCGTGCTTCCCATCGGCTGCAACATCAACATGGACGGCACAGCCCTCTTCCTAGCTATTGCCAGCGTCTTCATCTGCCAGATGAACAACATGCACCTCGGCTTCGCTCAGCTCGCCACCATATTGTAAGAAATTTTTAAACACTGCTATGTATATATATTTAACAACAAAAAGTCTAGTGTAACTGAAGGAATTTAAACTAAACTGATTTTACTAATAATATATTGCAAACTAAACGAAGTGAAATGTTTAACGGCTGTTGACTTAAGAGGGCGGGATGACATTTGGCCAGCTATCAGTTTGTTTTATTAGTTTTATATTACATCTTCAATAAAATCGTTTTACTTTAGTGCCAACAAGTGCAATAACATGTGAAAAATATTATATCTACTTTTAAAGTGATTACTTCTTATAAAAGTGTAAACAGTGTTACGTAACGCGTAAAAATTTAGAACATGCCATTGAATTTCAGTCTTACGTCGACGGCAACATCCCTGTCTTCAGCATCTGTTCCATCTGCAGCAATGGTGCTGCTTCTGGTAGTTCTTGCTGCGGTAGACGCACCAACACAAGACGTTTCATTGTTGTTCGCTGTTGATTGGCTCGTGTAAGTCAATATATAATTGAGTATTAGATTTATTCTTAAAAAATTTACAAATAATGGTCCAAACGAGTGAAATGCCGTTTCTTTTGCGTGGGGCGTGGATGAGACACATTTATGTGTCTGTTTCAATTATGATCGTGGTAAGAAACACAAGCTTAAGAAAAATAGACTTATCTCCATGGCACAAATTCAATTTACCTAATACTTAAATACTGTCTATAGTTTACGCGAGTAGTACACATTTAAATAAAACACTTTAACGCCGGCCGCTGCAAAGCATCGTTTTAATAATCCGAAATTTCGGACCGAAGTTAAAAATCATTTTCAAATAAGTTTAACTAATATATCGCGTTTTAAACCGTTAAAGTGTTTTATTTAAATTACCTAATACTTCTTTGGAAATTGGCCAGATTTAGCTCCGTAGCTGAGTATAGGTAGAAAGAGAATTAATAGACTTTTGGTCCTTTGCTAAACAGATATACATGGGTTTTTGGGTATGTTTTTAACCCAAAAAGGGGGCCCAGTTATTGTTGTTGACTCTTTTGTGTTTCACGAAACCTCGCAAATATTAGCTTCTAGCACTACGTCAGAAAAGAAAAGTTCCTACTTTCAAACGCTAAGTTGGCATCTAAATTTGCAATGTTGGCCAGCATAAGTTTGCAAGCCAACATGGCAGATTCATATGCTAACTTAGACCAGGTCAATCAGTGATAGGCCTCTTATTGTCTCTAAAGCATTTTTTATTTATTTTTAATACAGGGACAGAATAAGAACCACTAACAACATGCTGGGAGATTGCTACGCAGCGGCCATTGTGGAACACCTTTCCAAGCATGAGTTGATGGCGTGTGATGCTGCTTCCATGGTATGAGAAATTCTAAGTCTTTCACAATTAGATTTGAGCTGTCTTGGTCTTGGGGTGTGAGCTTCCGACCTGTCTTTGCGAGTTCGATACTCAGTCGTGTACCAAAACTCTTTGTTTAACTGCTTTAATTGGTGAATATAAGATCCTTCTGCCTAGTAACAAAAAATACGACGGATTCTCTGGGCATAAATCATCTAGCACCACCGATTTGACCAGCGTGGTAGATTAATGACAATTAAAAAAAAATTGACGATATAATTAATATCTCATAATGAAGTCAACTGCTGCCACAGATTATAATTTCTATAGATAGTTTACGATAGAGCGTTAATAAAAATCTTGAATTTAAATTTTTACAGGAACCCGTAGCCACTAACGGTACTCTACCAACGACCACCACAGACCTAGACATAGGCTCATCTAAGAAATCCCTAGAGTCAGACGACATCGTTATCGATATGCATTTAAGTAATATTGATGATAAGAGTTAGTTTTTATTTGCATTATCAGTATTATCCTAGTTTACTCCCTTTAGGTTAACTTGCAAAATAATCTTTTAAAATAGAACCGTTCTATGTACCACAAAAATATGCACTAAAGCAAATGATAGCATTATTATCTATAGGTATCATTTATCACTACAGTCTGTTTTCCGAAACGGGTTAGTGACTGCTGTCTCTTTCCCGCAATACACTGTAAACAAGGACGGGTAATCTGGAATTACCGGAAAATACTGGAAAATTACGAAACTACCTTGCGTACCATTGACTATATTTTGTTCTTCTTTTAGTTCAAAACCCTTTCAATTAACATTTATTAATATTGAGCAAAGTTTCGACTTTTGGAAGTCAGTTTCTATATTTTTAATAGCGTCAGTAATATATAATTTATGAACATTTTTACTCTCTAGATATCACACTTATACTAGAAATAGCCTAGCAAGGAGTAACACAGCTAAATTTTGGGTAAAGAAGGCGACAATTTTATCTCTCTATTAACTCGTTTCGGTGAACGGGCCTTAAATATATCCAATTATTATTATTATTTTCTATTGGGGATATCGATAAAAGGCTATGTGATCAGTACACATTATTTGTTTACCATTTTATCAATGTCTCCTTTACGGAGGACATTGGGTTATCTAACTCTCTCTCAGGGGACACCCCTTCAAACCTTCCTTCAAACCTTCGCTTTTCAAAATCTTATTTCTTGTTTCATCACAAATTTTCCTATCCGTTAATAATCTTTCTTGGTTGAATTCAAAACCAGGATTAAAATATCGTTTTGACGAAATCTCAAAAGGATAAAAGATCACTTAAGTCGTTTTTTTAAATTAGCGTCATCAATAGAGATTCACCAATCCACGATTATTATTGTAGATCCACCATTCCATTACTAATATGACAAATCTAACCCGTAGCAGTTGGATAGCATTATGCAAAATAGTAACAAAACAGTACCTAGTGTTTAACATATCGTTATGTACAATGCGATTCAAATAGTATGGAGATCGGCAGAATTAAGTTTGTATGATACCCAATTTCACCAAGAAATGATGATTTATAACGCCTTCAACTTTGCAAAATTGAGCCTTAGAACGTTACACTAATAAAACAAACAAAATAGTGAACGATTGAAAAGTAGTTTTAATGGAGGTAGTTCTTATCAAAAACAACGTCTTTAGTCACTGGAATCTATGACGTCACAACATGGCCGAATCTTCTATTTGAATCGTATTGTCATTTAGTTTTCGTGTTGAAGTCGTTCATAAACGGTTAGCCGTAGGCTATTTAGGCCGTTGTTATAACTTTTACAAGTATTAAATAATGTAATTCAAAGTTTCTTAGGAAGTGTAGGTATTTTGTATGCATATAAGAGTTTTATGCAAATACCTTCAAAATAATTTAATTAAATTAACATAAAAGTTATAGCAAGCAAGATCGAAATAAACTATAATCAAATTATGCAAATTTTAATTGTTCTTAAAAGACAATAGTGTTTTCGCAATAAAGGAATTTGAAAGATAAAAATAATATTGAGGGTATTTGCAGAAAAAGCAAAGGGTACAGACAGATACTTATTCTGCTCAAGCCCGTATTGTATTCGGGGCCTATTCAATTATGTTATCGTCTCTATAATCATTAGACTTTATACTTTGTGATAATCACGTGATAAGTAGGACTTGTAGTATAGCCCCAACTGTGATAACGTATGTTCAATTTATAAATTAGGGATTAAAGAGCTTTAATTGTATCTTTTTTATTCTCAACCACAATAAGATGGTTCTGTAGATCCAGAATTACTTGGGATACATATGTATGTGACCCCTTTCATTACTGACTCTACAGCTCAGTTGGGTAATGGGGCAGGGGGCAAAACTCTTTTAATAAATTAGATCTATGCCTAAAAGGAGAAAGAGGAATTTCGTTTCAACTTAGAGAGATTTAATCATCAAATGCATAACTAAATTGTACAATTTTATTATTTTTCTTCACAACAACTCCTACAGTCACTGGACATTACTACCTACATTACAAAATATTTACAATCTCATCTTATTCGCAATATTTCGGGATACACTTAAGAGTACGATTTATTACATTTTCAATATTGCGAATAATATGCATTTACATTAAATCACAGTACTATATTTATTTCCTTCAGTTACAATATTTCCAAGTACTAAGGTACAGAGCAATTTGTCACGGGTTTTTACCCTTTCAGGCAAACACTCCAATCGTAATTTACAATAGAGAAGCCCGTATCTTATGAGTGTAAAGCTGAGTCGTCTCTAATACGTATAGCATGGCAGTCTTCAATCATTATACACGTTTCTAAAATATACAGCCTAATATGTACAGTTAAAGTTAACACCCGAATAGAAATATTTACATTTACCGCAAAACCGGTAATAAGCGCTTAACATCACTTTGAGCACATCCAGGGAAATACAATACATCGACATGCGCAAAATGATCCTTAAAGTAGCCCGATCGCATCGGTGATCAATAAATATACTAATACAATACTTATAAGGCAAACAGTCGATTTATGTACAATTACTCTTACAGCTATTATAGTCTCATCGTGGAGTGAGTCGGTTTTCTGTTGCCGGGCGCAGGGGGTAAGCCTGGCCCTACTAGGGGCGACATGGAAGGCGATCTAGTGGCTAGGGGCGAGAGAGAGGGCGAGAAAGACGGCGACATCGCCGCAGCGGCTGAAAAGCCCCCAGGGACGTCGTGACTTATAGGCGATCGCGGAAGTAAGTGCTGGGGCTGCCTGCAAGACAACGAAGGTGCCGGACAGCTTCTAGGAGCGACCGTTGTTAATAAGGGTGGCGGTACGCTCTTTCCGCCGGACATCGAAGTCCCTTTACTTTTCGCACTAGACGCCCCACTATTACCGCTCTGTAGAGAGACAGCGTCGTCTTTTAATCTAGCTATTTCGGAGAACACGTGAGCTAAAGGCTGATATTGCGGACCCCAATCTAATAAATAGTCCCAATTATAACTACCGGTTAATTCTTCCTCGGAATGCACGATAGAGCTGAGACTTCCAGTCATGGACGGTCCAGCCGTCGGTACGGCGGTATTTTCGCCGGGTGCACTTGGAAAAGCTCCTAACGCCATCGCTCTATCTACGGCCGCGTTAGCCTCATCAGCACTACTGCCTCTATCGCTCCCGGTTACTTCATTTAACTTTGCATAAATCAAATTAGTAATGTCGTTCTCGTGTGCGCCGTCTTCGTCGAATATATTGTGCATCGGGTCGATGGGAACGTGGTGTAACATCGGATCTTTGTTTGCGACATTTTCGGAACATCTCCGGGACGACGTCGAAGCGCCTCCGGTACCCGTGTCCACTATACCTAGTCTAGCTAAATATTCTTGAGTATTATGAACGGAAACGTCTGACAAGTTGTCATCGTCTACGCCGTTAGTGTTCCTTTCTCTTTGTAATGGCCCTTCATTGATCATTCTGATTTCTTCATCTTCCCCGTCCTCGCCGTCCTCTGCTGAGCCACGTCCGCTGGAGCCGGATTGGTCAGAACCAGAAAGCTCACTAGTTGTCGCCGCTCCAGAGTTAGAACTGGCCGTGTGAGCTCCGTACGGTGGGATCTCATCATATTTTGGTGGAGCAAACTGATTAGCCGAATTTACGGGGCCGGTGTTTCGTATCGGTATCGTATCAAATGCACTCGGGTCGACGTAACTATTCGTCGCGCCGACTCCCTCTGAACTTAGACCCGGTTTGTTTTCTTTTTTATGCCTTTTATTTTTCATGTGCAAAAATAAGAAAGCGGCGGCGAATATAATTATGATAAATATAAAAGCAATTAACAGGCCCAGCGCCCAGTCTGAAAGACCACTATTTTGAGCCAAAGCCGGATCGTTGAGAATATTGGTACCATCTGATACAACGGCAGAGGGGTCAAGTAATATCTCCACGGCAGTTTTGTTCGTTAGTGATCCTTGTCTTCCGGAACTTGCAGTTATCACTAAGCTTATAGACTTGTCGCTGCCGAATAAGCTTTGTATTGAGTCGACTTTCTTTTTAAACATAATCAATCCTGTAGTCCTATTGATTTTAAAGAAAGAGTGAGAAGTAGAAAGTTGGTACACTATACGGCCGTCAATGCCCTTGTCTCTGTCAGTTGCGGTCGTTTGGCCGATCACATAACCTGCTGGCAAAGATCCAGATTTCGGAACGCCAAAGTTATAAGTCTTTTGAGTGAACTGTGGGTAAAATTCGTCTCTACTTTCTATATCAATTCTTACTTTAACTGTAGAAATCTTCCCACCCAAGTCTGAGGCTTTAATTGAGAATTCATATTTATTCTTTTGTTCATAATCAAAAACAGCGTTAGTGTTTACCAAACCACTAACAGGATCTATTTGGAACATTTTCCACGAGTCATCGTTCTTGTTGTAATTCATAGATATCGGGACTATTGAATAGTTCAATGAACCAAATTTTCCTTTGTCCAAATCAGTGGCCCTGGCTGTAAAAACAGAAGTTCCGACTCTTTCATTCTCAGCTATGCCTTCGAAATATTCGTTAACGGGGAAGGCAGGTATGTTGTCATTGATGTCAATGATACCAATTTCGATATAAGCAGCGTTACATAAACAGGGAGTCCCTTGGTCACAGGCAACGACGACAACCTTATATTTTGTTTTCCCCGTGTCATAATCTAGAGTTTTGTTTACAGTTAATACGCCAGTTGTAGGGTGAACGTAAAATGATTTGTCGTCATCACCAGATGTAATGTTGAAGATGACAGCAGAATTAGGTGTCCCATACAAATCAGCATCAGTGACGGATAGCTGTGTTAGAATGTGTCCTATTTTAACATCTTCGCTAACAGTGAGCTCAAAAGTGTTAGTTGCAAATATAGGAGGATTATCATTAGCATCTGTGACTGTCAAGAATATTAATATCGATGTTTTATTTTGTTTGTATGATATCATTTTGCCTTGTTCAACAGCAGCAAGTCCGAGTACGAATGAATCTTGTTTTTCTCTGTCCAGCTTTTTCACGAGGATCAGTGTTCCTTCTGATGTTATGTCGAAAGCGTTTCCTTCGTTTCCGGTGATGATGTGAAAATCAAGATTATATTTCTTCAAGACGTCATTGATTCCGCCAATCTGCAGTAAGGATGTTCCTTCTTCTGTGTCTTCATTCAGAGTTATTCTGTAGAAAATATTATTTTTATTAGTATTAACGTAACATGTATATAAATGTAGATATTAAATTTCAAATTGTGCAAGACTATTATTAATTAATTACTCATTCTTAAATCTATTATTTATACTAACAATTCTACTATAATGCCTCAACAAATAAATTTGCCTCCCAAACGTTAGGAAGAAGTTTTGTATTTACCTGTATGTATCTTGGCCAATAAAAGGCTTTATCTCTGAAGAAGCTCCGCTGCTAATCCTCACGGAGACCATAGCTGAGTTATTCGGTTTGCCATGATCTGTCGCAATTACTGCCAACTGAATGTCTCTGTGGTTACTCGGTAGAGAGCTATAGTTCACATACATAACTCCAGTCACTGCGTCTATGTAATACCCATCTCTTGGTTGCAAGAAGTAATATGAAATATTGCTGTTTTCACCACTATCTCTGTCCATAGCTTTCACAGCACCAATTTCGATTGTGCCGGTTCCTTCTGAAAATCAAAAAAGGGATTATATAGTGGTTTTTACGAATATAGTGCAACAGAGCTCGAACCTACGATACGAATGTCGTACTGCATGGTTGCTTTACTATTTAAACTATATTGTATAATGTATATAAACGTATGTGCGTGTCATCTGTCACTAATAAAAAAAAATGCAATAAAAAAATTCTCAAAATATCAAACTGATTGAATAAAACAGCAGTGTCACCCATAAAAACCACAATATCAAATGTACAATATATATTTACCGATTTTTTAACATTTCTGGGCTACATTGACACAAAATTTAATTACAGTGTTAAAGTGAAAAGTGCCTATGGAAGCGGGGTGCCTTTATACGCATACTCTAAAGACACTCCACGCATATATAAATGGAATTTTTACTATACACTTTGTATCTTAAAGGAATAAACAGTATTTACCTGGTAAAATACTACTATACGACACTTCTTCGAAAACAGGAGCATTATCATTGACATCAGTAACTTGAACGGTCAATGTAGTCGCAGCTATATGCTCCGTGTCCGAGGCGGTCACGTTGATCGTGAAGGTCTTCTGATTCTCGAAATCCAGTGGTTTATTTAGAACCACCTTCCCACTGTATCTATCAATCGAGAACATGTTCTCGTTTTGTATCAACGCGTATTTTAAAGCGGGGTAAGTGTCCACGTCATTCGCCGTAACAGATGTTAGAATCGCGCCGACTTCTGTGCCTAAAAACAATGAAAAAATAAATTATTACGACCCGTCTCTCGATAAAAGGAACAAAAACTACCGCCAGACGACGAAACAATGAAACAAAATGAAATAAAGAACACGGTTAACCGTTGCGGGCACTTAAGATGCGCGGAAACGGTGCGCAGTCAAATAAATATTGTTTGATGCGATTTTGTTTTAATCTTGCTGCAGAAATCTCGGGCACAGAGCGAGACAGCCCAAGCGTATTATACATTATGCAAATTGTCAAAACAATGAGAGCTGTTGAAATTTAAATGTGTATTGAGACTACAATTGAATAAACAATGGAATCTCATGCGATAGCTTTGATTTTGACAATTGAAATAGATTTTTAAGAAAGACAAGCATAAAGAGTATGATTTCGTAGTTTAATAATTGTCATCACATAATAAATGTAAAGTATTAAAGTTAATTTACATACCTTCGGATACTGATATAACATTCGGTGGAGGAAACGTAGGCTGGTTATCATTCACATCAACGACATTGATTCGCAGAGTAGCGGTCCCAGTCATTTGCGGATTGCCCTCGTCTGTAGCGATTACTGTTAATTTGTACGACTCACGTATCTCTCTATCTAGAACAATATTGGTCTTGACTGAACCGGAAAATGCCGGTTCAATAATAAATGCGTTGTCGTGATTTCCATCTACGATGTGGTAAAGTATTCTCGCGTTCGCTCCTTTGTCGTCATCTTTTGCTGCTAATTGTACGACGAATTCACCCTTAGTATTGCCTTCGAATACATTAGCTATATACTGCTGTTGCGTAAAGCGTGGTGCGTGATCGTTTTGATCTACAAGATTTACAATAACATCACAGTATCCGTATAATGCAGAAGAACCTTCAGTCCTGGCCATGATGACGAGCGTCCTCTTAGGACCTGGATATGTTTCGTAATCCAAATTTTCCGAATTATTTACCCTGATCACACCCGTGTTACTATCTATTTCGAAGGCATATTGATCGTTTCCATTACCGATTTCGTAGACAACTTTTTGCCGTCGTCCGTCGCTTCTCAACGCGGTCACTTGTAAAACTTCGCGACCATAACCCAGATTCTCGTCTATAGTGACATTGTAGGTACTGTTTTGGAAATTCAGCGTCGGTGTCTGATCAGAAAAATCACCAATACGTAGTTCTATAAGGCCGATCGAGCTCTGCGGTGGATTACCTTTGTCCTTAGCCACTATTTTAAGGTGTATAAGTTTACCATTCTCACTAGCTAGACTTTGAGTCGACGTTAGCACCCCAGTAGTGGGATTTATCCTAAATTTCTGATTAGAGCTATCTAGAAGTTCAAATAGAATTTCGGCGTTGGTGCCAATATCGTTATCGATAGCAGCAACACGCAAAAGACTTTGCCCGGGTGGAGTCAACGTAGCTATTTGTTCTCTAAATGGATATTTGGTGAATATAGGCTTGTTATCGTTTACGTCATTGATTGTAACCTCGACTGATACTCTTTGGGATCTTGCGATGTACCGCCCTTGATCAGTGGCGACAGCTTCAAACCGGTACAAGCTTATCTTTTCACGATCGAAATGTCTAAAAAGAGAAATAAGTTTAAGCAAAATATTAACATTAAAGAACTAATTTGATTCATTATACGTATACAATTCGCGTAAACTACATACATTATTTAAGTTTATAATTATATACATACCCAGTTGTATAAATGACGCCACTTTTATTGTCTATGCGAAATAAGCCTTGACTCTCATTTGCTAGGGAATAGACAATACGTTTATTGTATCCTAGGTCTGCGTCAGTCGCCCTTACTTTTATTATAGAAGTATCAATTGGAGCGTCTTCTGGAATAGCTGCTGAATAATGTCCCGTGTCAAATACGGGGTCGTTGTCGTTTTGGTCTTCGACCATTATAGTAATATTACAGGCGCCTTGCAAAGCTACCGGGGAACCATGGTCATAAGCTGTTATAGTTAATTCATATCGTGATTGTGTTTCACGGTCTAGAGTTTTAGCTGTCAATTTCCCCGTAGTAGAGTCGATGGTAAACTTGTTCCCGTTATTTCCAGATGTTATACTGTAAGTTATAACTCCGTTAGCCCCGATGTCTTTGTCTGTAGCTGACACAGTATGTATTACTTCTGGGTCATTGTTTTCAGGAACTGTCAAAGTGTAACAGGATCCAGGTTTGAAAGTTGGAGCATTGTCATTGTCATCCAAAACACTGATAGTTACTGTAGCTACATCGAAGTTAGTGGGCGACTGAAAGTTGCCCGAGTCGGTGACGTAAACAGGAAATACAAATTGTTGGGTTTCTTCTCTGTCAATTTTAGATATGACAGTTATTGTTCCTGTTTTCCCGTCTATTGCAAAGTTATCGTCCGCTACTCCTGATGGTATTGTGTAGTTTAAATTACCTTAAAGTATAAGAGAAATAATTAATATAAAATTTCAAATATTTGCAAATGTAAGTTTAAAAGAATATATTTGGCACAAAAGAATATTTATTAGGAATAAAATAAAGATTCAAGTAACATCGCAGTTTATGTATTCTAAGTTTAGAAAACGTGTGATTGAATAATATTACGGGTTTTTGTAATCATATTATAATTAATTTTAAGTTAAGTTTACTACAAAAATAAATACCTGAATTTCCTCTTGAAGATTTCGCTGAAACTCTAGTTACAAAGCTGCCAGGGCGTATGTCTTCACTGATGTTAGCTTTGTATGTCGCTTCACTAAATCTCGGAGGGGTGTTAGTCGATTCTAGCAAATGAAGAACTAAGGTCATGTGACTTTGTCTAGGAAACGGCAAGCCGTGGTCGGAAGCGGTCAAATTAAGTTTGTATTGACCGGGTCTCATTTTAGACGTATCGGATGCAAACTTTTTAGATAGAGTCAACCTTCCCGAATCATAATCCATTGCAAAGTAGGAATGGTCGTTACCATTCGATATGTAATACGAAATCTTGCCATTATCACCGGAATCAGAATCGACAGCTAAAGCTTGATACAAGACACCTGTTAGCGCGTTTAGTGTAACAGAAACTTTGCGAGCAGACACAAAAGTAGGAGTGTTATCATTAGCATCTTGCACAATCACATGTACAGTAGCTGATGTTGCAAGTCGTTCAGTAATATTCACTGCTTGATCAACTGCCTCCACAACCAGCCAATAGTCTTGAAGTGTCTCATAATCGAGAGGAGATATAAGCGTCAGAGTACCGGTGAGAGGATCTAAATTGAAAGTAGCCTTGGAGCTAGGTATGGATGAGACTACTCGAAAATTGATTTCGCCATTCACACCAGCGTCATCGTCTTTGGCGGTAAAGTTGTGGATATTAACCCCAACGGCTGTTGTTTCTGGTACTTCTATTCTTATTGGATCCTCGGGCCATAGAGGAGCGTTATCGTTGATATCTATGATTTCTATCCTGACCGTGACTGCACTGCTTTGAGGATTGTTTGTTGCTGATGTATCCAAAGCCCTTATTTCTAATCTATATTCGTCTTGTATTTCTCTATCGAGCTGTCTCGCTACTACCAACGAGCCGGTTCTTCTATCTATTTCGAAAGTTCCTGGAGAATAGTCGGACGTCAAAGACATTAGTAAATACGAGATCTGCCTCTCTTCTTCGCCGTTTATAGAGTTTTCGCGGATGTCACTGTCGCAGCAGGTTACAGTGCCAATAACGTGGCCAATTTTCGAATCTTCACGAATCTGGAAAGTGAAGAATAATTTATTAAAAACATTACTATACTGTAATATTCAAGAGTACAAATATGTATGTACGAATCACTTTACTTACATTACAACATAAATATCCACAAGCAGCAAAAATAAAATACATATTATAACATTTAATTAATTTAATAACATTTGTCTTATAAGTAAGTTACCTTGTAAGACAAGCTTGAGCTAGTAAACGTTGGTCTGTTGTCGTTAAGATCCAGAACTTCTACTTTAAGCTGACGAACAGTCTGTCTTGGAGGATGACCGCCATCGGTGGCAGCAACCGTTAGGCGATATATTGATCTCTCTTCGTGGTCTAATACTGAAAAGCAAACACCATAAGCATCAGAAACAATTTCAAGATCAATTTCTTTTCCTCTATATAAATATACGTTGCTTTTAAACTAAAACATTTAGAGAGAAGAAGAAGTTCCTATAATCGAAGTAAATCTGAAATGTCGGGTTGTAGTTAAAATAAATTAAAATTAAGTTTACTAATATGTTACGTATTTTAAACCATTAAAAGTGTTTCATAAATGTGTACATTAATGTGTGCTCATTCTTTTGCTACACAATGCTACGCTTGTATGTAATGATATTTACCTGTACTAGTTTTAATAATTCCAGTCACAGAATCAATAACGAAAACGCCAAAGCCATCAGTGTCTCTATCATTAAGAATAGAATAGGACACAGAAGCATTCACTCCATTATCTCTATCTATTGCTTTGACTTTAGCCACTTCAGCACCAGGTTGCTGTTCTTCTCTGACACTAACAACATCTTCTCTAGGATCGACAATTTCGGGTGAGTTGTCATTTACATCGGTAACTCTAATATGCACCGGTACTCTTGTGGAACGGGGTAATGCACCTTGGTCTTTGGCTTCCGCAAAGAGCGAATAGGCGTGCTTGAATTCGCGGTCGAGCATTTCTTTCGTTGTTATAATCCCTGAAAATAAGAAAAAATGACATTACAAATAAGATGTTGCTGGAAAACTATACAAGGTTTATCAGTTTATACCGGTTCTACAATGCAAGTATATCGTAAAATTATTATGTATAAAAAATAAAGATTAAATAAAGCATTTAAATGATTTTTAATGCTGATGCTTTGCAGCAGCCGTGGTCACGGAGAGACTACCCGTGACCATGGTCAATATCAAATAAGTTTAACTAATATATCGCGTTTTAAACCGTTAAAGTGTTTTATTTAAAGTTTTTTATTTAGTGTACTACTCGCGTAAACTATAGACAGTATTTAAATAAAGCACTTGAGTATACAATTAAATCTTTAAAAAAAACATTTTTATTTTTCTAAAAATGTACATTCCCATATACTGAATATGTCAAACGTCTTTGATAGGCCGACGAATAAAACGAGTCACGACTGTGGATCCGGCAGAATCCGAAAAAGTATGTGAGGAAACCTGGTTCCTATCAACGCGCGTGTATACAGTTGTCTTTGCAATGATTTATTCCACGGCTTGTGATGCTAACTAGCTAAGAGACGTCGATAAGCCGAATTGAGATAAAACGGTTATTCATCAGTCGATATTAACACTTCCTTTTTATTTGCGGCGTGGTGGATCGTGCCAGATTAGCATCTTATTACCGTAAAGGGATCCTTTTGCATCATTAGCTCTCTTTTAGTTGGCAGCCTTTTATAATTTATTCAGTGTGAATGGATAGGAAAACTAGTTTTATCTAGTTTGCTACTTCGTGCAAGTAGGCATTCAAACAATTTACAATGAAGTATTACAAATCTGATAAATTTTAATATTGGAAGTATTTGTTAACAGCGTTTTGCTCCAGACAAATCAAACGATAAAGTTTGCCGCTCTTTGTACTACTATAGTTATTTTTATTGCCAATGCACTAAAAAAATAAACGACTCAATTCTAAATTCTTTGCATGGCAAGGTAAGTATGCTGTGTAAAGAACACTGCATATCATATGTTATTAAAACCCCATTAAAAACAGCGTAAACGATATTCTTGGGAAGGCAAGCAAACAGAGTGGAAAGTGCTCCCTATTTCCTTAAATCGTTCGGGTATTAATGCGGCGCTGTTGACACAAACTATTTGGACAGTCGATGAGTCTTAAGTCACAACATACTTTGGATCTTAGCTTTCAAAGACGCCGGCTGCACAAACAACCGTGAGTGGCAGCTTGGGCTCGGGACTTGGCAAATATCCCCGGCGCAGTTCGTACCGCATTGTTTTAACTTCAATCTCGTTATTAGCTTTGCTCGGTCGACTCTTAATTTCGTGTACCGTCTAGCTTTCGATGGCCATCAACAAGAAATATTAAATCAAACGTAATGGGTCAAAGGATGCGTTACTTCAGAACGTCAATTGATCAGCTGTAGGGCGATTTTCATTTTCGAACACTTTTGATTTTGGTGCTAAGTATTAGTTGAGACGGCAGAATTCTTCGAAGAAAAGAGATTGAGATAGAATTGCAAACATTTAATTTTAACATTATATAAAAGTTTTATTCTCCCACTATTTAATATAACTTTTGGGATCCGTACTTTAAAAGAGACATAACGCTAATTCAAAACATACGGAGAGGCACTAAACTGGTTAGGCCGTTTAAATACTCTTATAATGATAGGCTAAAGACGCTTAATCTAACAACTACTTCACTTAATACATTCAAAAATCTGGACAATTTATAGAAAATATGCGTCAGCTGCGATTGAAATAAATAAATAAAAACAGTAATTTAAATAAAACACTTTAACGGTTTAAAACGCGATATATTAGTTAAACTTGCCGTCTCCCCGTGACCACGGCTGCTGCAAAGCATTCGAAACGTCGGGCCGAAGTTAAAAATCATTTTCAAATAAGTTTAACTAATATATCGCGTTTTAAACCGTTAAAGTGTTTTATTTAAATGTGTACTACTCGCGTAAACTATAGACAGTATTTAAAAACAGTAATTCCATCTAACTTACCAGTGACTGGGTTGACAACAAAGCTCGTATTAGTAGGAAACAGACTATATCTGACTGCGGCGTTATCGTCCAAATCCGCATCAATGGCCGAGATCTTCCCAACAAACGCTCCAGCCTTACGGTTCTCCTCAACCTCGAACTGATAGTTGGCTTGAGAGAAAACTGGATCATTATCATTAGCATCTATAACGTTGACGAGGAGGCTGACGGTCGCCGACAGCGGTGGAATGCCATTGTCCGAGGCTATAATCGTCATGTTGTGTTGCGGGATCGATTCCCGGTCGAGCTCCTTCGCCAATTGCACCCAGCCGGTGCTCGGCTGCACCTTGAAGTGCGTGCTATTGTCTGATACGATGCGGTATGTTATTCGGGCGTTGTTACCCGTGTCCTTGTCTATAGCTTGAATTTCTAGAATCTGAAAATATATGGAAAATTTTGAAGATTATACCAACAAATCTTAAGTATGGTAGAACAGGTACATTGTCTAATATATAACAGAAATTTACAGTATGTCATCGTCTGTGGATATATTTGATATATTCCAATATTGTGAGTTCTGCGGCCCTCAAGAGATAAAAAAATATTATGTAATTATTGAATGTATTTAATTATATATATTTAATTATTTGAATGCATACGTACTTTAGTATTAATAGGCTCCGATTCCAAAACATTAGCGGTGTAAATATCGTGTTCGAAGACAGGAGGATTGTCATTGACATCCTGCACGTCTATAACTAGCGTCAGGTTTGCAGAAAGCTGAGGTGCACCGCCATCTTTGGCAGATATCACCAGCGTATGTCGAACTAGGTTTTCATAGTCTAACGGCCTGAAAAAGAATTATAACTTATCAGAAACAAAAAATAATGCCCATCAGATTATACAAGTAACGCTCAATTGCTATCATAGTTTAATGTAATTATTAACTTTGCTATAACTGCAGCTCTGTACAACATATAGTATAAGCACTATTACAATATAATAAATATATCTCGCCAATGTCCAGAGTATTTTTCTGTCGTTGTCGGGAACTTATTTCCAAAAGTAATTCATTTCGATAGATTTTATTGTTGCGCATTGTTGGGTAAATCTTCTGGACGTTAAATAGTATTTTGTAGCGTAGGAAAGAACGTTTATTTTGAGTTATTCTATGGGGCCTTCCGACGACGCATTGTCATATATGTTGCATTTGTGGGGGCAAGGACCCATGACTCTCCCTCCCCTACAGATCCGCGTTGACGTGAATACATCGCGTATTATAAGTTATTAACTAGGACCCACCGACATTTCAGTCGCAAAGCATATCAATTCGGTTAAAATTTTATATCAGTAACGATACATTTAAATATTCTTTCATCGTGAACGCTTCCATCATTGAAGATCACTGGCTACACAATAATATTAACACTTACCTAAGAAGAGTAACGAGACCGTGCTGCGAATTAACAGCAAAGGTATTCAGAGGCCCCGTGGCTGATAACAGGCTGTATGACACCTGACCGTTTCGACCCTCGTCTTCATCTGTGGCTCTCGCGGCGTAGACAACGGACCCGATAGACGCCGATTCTGCCACGGAGACCTTGACTGAAGATGTACCGAAGCCCGGTGCGTTGTCATTCACGTCGTCCAACGTAATTTGTACCTGGATATAAAATAGTAAGATATGAATAAGAGTTACCGATTTCCGACTATCAGACATTCTAAAATGACCTTAATTTATCCCGAACACAATTCAGTGTCCGTTTCTCTGTTCTGTCATATTAACAGATAGTTAAACAGACTTTTGTACGATATATGGCTGAGGTTTTGTACCTTCCAAAAAGCAAAACCCATGTTTGTTTATAGTCCTGTTTGTTTAAAGCCAAAATACAAGATTACGTAATAATGTGTTTTTAACTTTACTTAATGCGTAGTTATAAAAATTTAAACAATAGCTGTGTATCTTTATACACTACTATTGTTTAAATTTTTATAACGTCTTCAAATCAACATAATATTGTCCTCGCTACTTACTTGAGTTTGATCAAAGCTTGCAGTATTCCCATTAGTCGCTCTGACATTAAGAAGATACGAGGGTACGGCCTCCCTATCCAGCTGACCAGACGTCCTGATGGCTCCCGTGTGGGGTTCTATCGTGAATTGGTGTCCAGGGTCCCCTGATACTATGCTGTATCGCATCAATTTACCTGTAAGTATTCGTATGATTTATAAAATCTTCGAGACGATCATAGAAGAAGTATATTATACATCTAAAAATTATTAGTTGTTTAAATTATATTATGTCGCTATCATATTTATTTAATTTTATTCTGGCCATTTTTTTTATTTTTGAGGACCCGGCAAACAAAATAATGATATGAATAATTCATGACCCAAAAGCACCAAAACAATGTAAAAATGTAATGCGTGTAATACATTTACGTTTTGCGGTTTAAAACACGAAAAATATATTAATTAAACAATTTTCTCCGCGAAACATAGCTGCAAATCATTCGAAACATCGGATGGAAGCTGTTAACTAATTTATTCACGCATTAAACCGTTTAAAGTTTTTATTGTATCCATCCAAAAATAAAAAAATAAGGAAACGATTACAGTCAACAACAATTGTCTTAAAGTATAGAAGAGTATATAAGCGAAATGATTTTAAGTGAGTTCAACAAAGACCTAACAACAATAGGCAGATAGAATTTATTAAAATATAATAGTCCATTCATAAAACAGCTATTGTTGCCCGTAAAATGATTATCCTTCAGTAAGGTCCCGGCGCTTTTGAGAAACAGTACTGCGTTCAAATAATTTCTATGCTCTTTCAGAGAGCCTCTTAATATCTCAAGTATGAAGTGACACACTGCTCTAACGATTATTGTTACATATTTAATTATAATTAATAAGTTATAAAATAAGCCTTATAATTCCTAGGTTTGAGGAAACAAACTAAGTATTTTAAACCGTCAGGAAAACGTCTTATATGTACGCAGACTGTATGTTTCTTTAAACTTGCATTATGTTTGTTGTACATTATAAAGCGTACGAGTTTAAATATTTGTTTCTTAAAATATTACAAAATAGATATTTAAATAACGTTGGTATTTCTTGTGTAACATTCTAGTGTCCAGTGTATAAAACGTAAGTAAGTATTATTTTTCACGACTCTGTCAATATGTGTAAGTTAAGTTAATATTTAAACGAATAATTAAATATTAACTTACAACGAAATAAATTTTGAAATGAAGACTACGATATATTTAATAAATAAGAAGGGTTAAATGTTTGTTTTTTTTCTTTCAAAAAAATGTCTTTTTCTTTATAATATCCCCATTCTTTATAACCGTATGTCGCACGTTCAACTCAATTTCCCCGGATTATAATATGCGAGTAAAATTGACCAGACGCTATTTACGATGCTCGTAAATATTTATGTGTCCGTATCATTTTACTTTCGACATCTATTGCTTCAAGACTAGCTGGACCCGTGACTTTGTCGGCATATCGTTTGAATTAAGAGAGCTTTATCAATAGCTTCTCGAAATGGTATTTAAAATTTCAATCATTAACGAAGGCACGCTACGTTTTCTAAATTTATTTTCATATTTCATCTATAACAAGTAATTTCTGGTAAAAAAGCTATATGGATTGAAATATCGTACACAAACAGTTTAGTGCGCAATTTTGTCATTAAATAAACTTCACTTTATATTATTAAAAAAACAATTATAAGATTAGACATATCAGCTGAATGATTAAATTTCGAACCGTAGTGGTCATGAGATCAAACGCTGCCTGTGTAAATAAAATAATGTATAAATTCAAGCTAACATAATTTTAAGAACCTATAACGGCGTATGCTATAGCTTCCATATTCTACTCTATCTGTAGCGTCGTAAAACTGGACCGTAAAAGAACCGAACTTGAATGTATTGAAAAACCCACAAGACACAAAATAAATGAATTCCCATGCCTAGCCCCACAGACTTAATGAGGTCAAAAGCTGTCCCTAAATCCCCGTTCATCAAGTCGAAATCCAAAAACCGCTTTCTATCTATCAAATTTTAATTGGCATTTCTCACAGTAAGCGATTCATTGTCGTATTTCTTTTTCAGCTACTTTTTGCGGGCGAGTTTTTTCGCCGTACGTTTTGGGCACGACAGTTGACGCAACAAGATTGATATACGGACTTCGACGACGTATCGGCCACTCTTTGTTTCTGTAACTGGTCCAAGAGTCCCCCCTGAGGCACCCCGCTTATCCTTTATACAGTCTGCGCCTCTCGTTTTATTTGGCAAGTTTTAGACTCCTTAATGTTTGTTTTTGAATTGCCAATTTCCCGGTATTTTGGGTTCCTTTGGTCTTAACTTTAAACCATTATATTTAACGATAAAATTTACGCTCAAGTTAGGTTAGAAAAAATAATAAACTGTATAAAAATGGTGATTAATTGCCGTTTGAAGAAATCCATCATGTAATTTGCCAGCTTCGCGAGAGATAAATAGATTTGCATAGCTTAATCTAATCACCGATGATGTAGAGACGGCTAAAAACGAGCCTAATTGCAAAATACTTTATGGAAATGAGCCAGGTGTTCGTATCACTTTGTTCGTCTGATCAATCATTCATTAGCTAAGTACAAGGCCGGTGATTTACTCCGAAACATACTCGGAGTGCCCTTCTAAATTGAAATCATTAATGGCACTCCGATTATCTTGCTCACGAGCCACCATTTGACTTCAATTAAGAGTTGTAAAGATTTCCTATGCGAATTGTTCGATTCCCGATTTGACTTTAATGAATTAATTATCTGAAGGTTCGATTATCTCTAAAGGGCAGTCAGAACTGCGCTGAGAAAGGTCTGGCTTATTCTTATCGGCGACTATATCTTCTAAAAAAGCGGTAAGATTAAATGGAAGTTCACTATCGTCGGATTATTCGTGTTCATTTGAAATTTTCTCGTCAGGTTGAATTAAATGAGGCGTTCTCATCTTATTTTCCGATGTCGTCGAGGTATGGCTATCATTAGTGGGAATTTTCGCGCGTGATTGCACTGCGTCGTCGCGAACACTTAACTAAGCATTTTAACAAATAAATCGTGTAAACAATTTCAGTCGCGACCCGTCCGAATAGCGTGGAACAAAAACTGCGAAATAATTGAAGTGCAGCATCAAAAAAGAAGTATAGAAAGTTTGCGGCAAAAAGTGTCGTTTCGGGTCTGGGTTGGTTGACCTCGGGAAGGTTGTATTTATTCGGTACCGAGCTCAGCCGTATCCTTGGATTTCGCGGGATTGAATTTCAAATTTTCAGTCGTGTCGCCTTGCAAGAAAGCGTGAACCGAAACTTAATTTTCAACTTTTTACGGAAATACTACTAAAATGTCGGACACTGCGCATTTGTATCTGAACGATTGCTGGGCAGCCATATTTATTTAAAAAACAATTTTAACAATGCGTTACTTAATTTAACTAACTCGCAAGCTTTATTTAATTAATTGTGTCATCATAGTAATCCTATATTTTGTTAACACGTTATTTTAAGCGATCGTTCTACTACAGTCGGAAGCTTTATTGTCCCCGCTATCGTCTGTCAAAGCCGAATAAAAATTCCAGAAGCCAAAGTAAGAATTTATGGTCACTTTTCCGGGACCAATTATGATTTATCTTAGTCAAGAATGTAATATAAATAAAATTATAGAGTACCTTACGCAATGTTCGACCACTTTATAAGACGCGTGTGGTCCCGCGCTGTAATTGAAACGATAATGCGTCTCTATAGTGGTTTTATCATCGCTATATGAATTCTATTTACACAACTATTGCTGGGTTATTTAGTGCTAGTATGACCCGGTAAACGGTTGTTTCATTTGAATTAATATTTGCAAGGGAAACTTTATTGGATGTCTACTTTAATGTATTCATTCATTAATTTTAATAAAACGTTATTTTACTTATATATGTTAGTTCAATTAGTTTTTAGTGTACAATTATTATCCGATCCTCACCGGGTTCAACGATTATAGTCTTTTGATTTCGTCTGGAAATCTGGACATTAAATGTATGACTTGCCACCGTATGAGTATATAAATTCCGTCACGAACCACCGTTCACAGAAAACCCGTGAAGCTTAATCGGGTTTGGGTTTCGGTTTCCGAATATTCAAAGCCGAAATGGGTCGACAGCGCATCTTGTGTATATGATATGACTGGGGTATTTCACCTCACATCAAGCGAACCCATGCTTGTCTGTCCTTCTCTATCATTAAAAAAAATTAGACAATCATTATAAGATATTATAATAAAATTGGTAATAAAATTCAATAGTTTAAATGAAAACGTGATGTAAAACAAATTAGTACACCGACGCAAGCGCACACATATCAACTCTCAATTCGGAGTCATTAAATTATATTTTTTAATTAATGGATGTTTATCTCCGGGCAACTGTGCTATAAATCTGAGGGAGGCGTGCATTTAACATTGAACTTCAGTGTTATGCTCTTTCTAATTAAACTGAGCTCTGCCCTGTCCGAATTGTTGCGGGTTAAGTCAGGAGCGGTAGCGATTTTTAATATAAAGAATTGCTCAACGCGAAATTGATTAGTTATATATATGTGACGTACGTATAAGTTCACATCATAGTTAAAAATATAATTCAAACAATCTAAAGTCATCAGTGACACTTTATTTTAGCGGACAGGAAAATAGTAAAGATATATTAACATTTCAATTCTAGGCAGAAGTGAAACGTAGAACATTAAAGTTCTGCATATTTATATTTGAAAATGATTTTGGAGTAATTTTACACGAATACTTAACTTAAATTATTTATCAGCGTAAAAGTCATTCATGTATTTAAAATAATGTTCATTTCTCGCGCTATCATATACAAACATGAGATGTTTACCTCTCCTCCATCTTACGAATTGTCTATCAGATATTGTGTCGTGACACGATATATACTTTTTGCCCTAGATGTTTCTAGGGCAAAAAGTAGTGCAGTGAGAAGGGAAGTCAAATAGATTCTCCTTCAAGAAACTTCTCTCCCTCCGTGTGTTTGTTTAGTGGTTCTGGTCGGTTATTGTCTTCGAGGAGGTTGTAGTACGATTTACCACACTCCCCACGTCACTATTGCCCGACGTGGGCTTGCATTAGGCAATAACACCACAGTATAAAAAAGAGGAAAGTATTTTCCCTACCTAACTAACCCAAGAACTGAAATTATCAGTTTAAAACTTGTGCCACTCACCAAAGCTACAATGCAGAGTAATTTTTAAACGATATCTTCTCAATCTAGAGATATGATTTGCAATCGCTCCCACCGAAGTCGGTGCCGGGTTAATTGCCGCTAAATTTATTAATATTGACCTACACCCATGTATGACCGTTGCTAATATTGCTTATCTGATACAGGCCAATTATAAGAAGAAGTCTTATGGGAGTCGTCAAAGCTTTGATAGTTCCTAATTAACTTGCTATTCAATAAAACTTCTTAAAGAAATTTCATTTTGAAGCCCTAATCACCACCGGGTATATTTCTGATCGATTCATAGTTTTCCTGAAATATCTTAGGCTTCTTTTTTAAACAAAACAAAACGCGATATATATTACACGGTCACAGAGAGACTACGGCAGCTGCAAAGCATCCGAAATATCGGCTGGTAGTCGAATTAATCTCGAAACAAGCTTAAATTAAAGTGTTTCATTTAAATGTGTACTACTCGCGTAAACTACCTTTCATTAAATAAATCTCATGCTTGTCTGTCCACCTTTATCATTAAAATATGTATCCATTACTGATATCATAACATTATCAATAATCTGTTGTAGCAGCAACATCTGAGTGATATCCTTCCATAGCTAAGTTAGTGTATGTGATAATTGTAACGCATTTATGTATTTTGTTATATCATTGTGTAATATCTGTATGTTCTTTGATGTGAATTAAATTTGTATAATACTAACGTCCAAAGTGCTAGGACCAATCAGTCTTACAAACGAATAGAAGACCAAGTGACGCCTTTACACAAGAATGTAACAATAGCAAGTAACAGTCAATAAGTAATCGAAGAATCGGATTATCAAGTAAGTTGAATAGCTGGGGCGGGTCCCCTGCACTAGGATACACGCAGTCTCAAACTATGAATTTTAAATGCCGCTATCCCTACAACAATGAACGCGGCTTTCTCATAGCAAGGTGCACGTAGTGTAACGGTTCTGTTCGCAATTCAGTGATTTACAGAGCTCCGTCTCGCAACAGAATAAACGTGGCCTCGAATAAAACGGCCCTCTGTTACACCGAAGTGTAACGCTATGCATAAAAGTCTGAGTTTTCATTGTGTGTCCTAGCATCTGTATATAGGTATGTAGTTAATAGTAAAAAACATTTATTCAAAATTAAGTAATGTGAAACACCCTCATTTCTAAGTATCGTGCGCATGCGCATAACAACATCTTCTCTCTATATTTTGTAAATTTTTAAAACGCGAAATATATTAGTTCTACTTGTTTACATTTTTAAACATTACTGTTTTATATCCGCAATGTGATCTATTGGAGAATTTCTTTTCCATTGGAGAAGCTAAGCTTCGTTTGGCCGATGTAGGATAGGCCACAATCACAATCCACTCTACAAATGCCCGCATTTTGTAGAACGATTGTATAAAATGGAAGGGTGCGGAATTGACCACGGCTGCTTGAAAGCATTTGCAGTGTCGGGCTGTAAAAAAAAAAAAAAAAAAATTGGGTTTGGGAATTAAAAAATTTTTTTTTTTTTTCCATAAAAGGGCGTCCTCCTGGGGGTTTTTTTTTTAAAACCCGCGGTTGTTAAGAGGAAAGAGATCCTAGGTTTGAATAATAATAATAATAATAATAAACTCTTTATTGTACAACAGACATACGAACATGGATACAAGAAAAAAAAAATGTATAAAAACATAAATTATACAATAAAAAAAAAAAAAAAAAAAAAAGAAAAAAAAAAAAAAAAAAAAAAAAAAAAAAAAATTAAAAGAAAAAAATAAACCCCAAAAACCTAGAGAAGCATATGAAGATCCTAAATATGATTAATTCTAAAGCCAATGAGGCCAAGGCTAAACAGCATTACCAAGAAAGTATTGCGTTTTGAACCTGTTAAATGTTATATTCTTTGTACCTATATGAGATCGTCTTCATGGCTATGTTGTTATTATACCTAGCGTTGCTAAGACGAAAGAGGTGCGCGGATCCTAAGGTTTGAATTTAAGTATCTGTGAAACGAAGATAGATATATGATAACCTGGCATATATGATGTGACTCACTTCACCCCGTGTTTAGCCTACTGACATCTGCGTCCATTTTGCAACGTGTACGCAGTTAGTGACTTCAGATGATCCGTTATTATCTGATGTATTAATTTGCTGGGAAAACATCTATGTGGTAAACTATAATGATGGGTTATAAAGTTACAACAGTGAGCTTAATTGCCGAGTTATTATGAAGAAATATTCTTACCTATAACATAAATGCTGCTGCCTTATCGTAAATAAAAAAGAAAGGATGATCAAAACTTTTGAAAACAAATTTTAAAACACATTAAAATTAAAAAAACACACCTTTAGCTTATTTTTATTTGTTTTGAGTACGATCCGACGTTTCGGAAGTTGTACAGTAGCCGTGGTCATAGGGAATAAATAGATCGTAGTTATTATAAAATACGATGTAATAATAATATATTCCGAGATTTAAACCGTTAAAATGCTTCATTACACTGTGCATTTCTAGCTAAAATTGTCTACAGACAATACTTAGGTATAGAAAACCTTTACTCATGTTTTTTACAACTCATGTAACTTTAACTTTATTTTTGTGTTCAAAGAAAATAACTATTCATTGTAATCCACATCTATTTGTTACACATCTGTCTAATCAAATAAATGTACTTGTATAAATATTAGTGAAACATAACGCATCGCCCTGAGATAGCAGCCATTGTTTATTGGCGTGGTTTGATTTAGAAACTTCGCCTCACCAGATCTACGTTATACGAACGCAAGGCTTTGAACCCAGCTAATACTAAACGACAGATTAAACTTTCTTACTTAATAAAGCCTCAAGATTTTGAGGACAATGAAGGCTGTCTTTTGAATGATTATATAAAAAATAGTATTTATAAATAAATAATAAAAACTTCTAAGCAACAAACTATAATAGGGTAAATTATGTTTGTGACATTTCGTTTCTTGGGTAAGAACGAGGCTAACTCCAACACAAATGTTCTTTTCACTGCTTGAATTACTTTTCACTGGTTGTATTTTGGGTATTCTTAGTTTTAAAATATTGGTGGGAGACACTTTATTTATAATTATTTACAGATGCTCTGACCACGGAGATGTTTTGGCACCACGAAAATATGTATACTTTTCAAAATTAAATACTGGTACATCTCGCTATAAGGCAATTAGTATGGAGGTAGATAAGAAGGTAACCGTTTAGTAGATTATTTCATGTAATCTTAATACGCTTTTATTTATTTACATTTTCAAGAATTTTCAGGCATGGCAACGTAGGTGGTGCAAAGTAAAATAACTCGCGAACAAACCGTTACCACTAACTTATTCAATGATTAGAAAGTCTAACGAGCATATGGAACCAGGAGATGGCTGCTCATCACAGAGTCGTGATCGTCGCCAGACAATGGGTATTACGTATTTTGTAAATCCTACTTAGATAACGGAATATGTTTTAAGCGATAGCGGAGCGATAATAAAACGCAATCTATATCAGTTAAACTTATTGTTATTTGGAAATTATTTTAACTATGGCCCGACGTTTCGGATGCTTTGCAGCAGCCAAGGGCACGGTCACAGTCTCCCCTCTAAACATTTAAACCGTTAAAGTATTTTATTTAAATGTGTACTACACGCGTAAACTAGAACATAGTGTAAGCTTTTTTAATGAAAATATATTGATAGAAGTAAATCCTAATATTCATAATGTAGCTAATAATCGGCTCAATAAAAAATTAACTGCATCATTTATGGTTGATCCCTTTAAATAAAATGTACCAGACAGACAAAGTTGCGTGTTACAAATATACATACTTTTAAATGATTTCTTATATACACTTATATAAACTTGACCGATAACTTTACCGAAAAAATGTATATTTTGACTACTACTCTATCAGTAGACGTTAAGAATAATTACACAAGTTCAATAACATGAAACTAGTAAAAGACGCAAATGCCTCTGCATTGAAACGAGGCAAGGTGGCACGAATTCGATAAATTTGTTTAATAAAATGAAGCTGTAATGGCTTCGTTCCCGGTAGTTTCGAGTTTTCAATAAATATTTAATCTAACTGTTAAGTGACTTCTTTTGTATGTGATCCCAAATGAGTTTATGAATCTTTATAGAGAAATGTTATCAGGATTATATAGAAATGCTTTCAAAATTAAATATTTTAATCGCTAAATTGTATGTACACAGATGAGTGAGTAAAGATAATTTTCATAATGAAAATCTAAGGAATTTCCTTTAAGAATGGGTGATTTATATCAGTACGGATTTTACCGTAGCTTGTATTTTTTATGACAAACAAATACAGAAATACAATTAACATGCCATAAGTAGATCCTACATTTTGGGAAAACTACTTTTGAAAAAAGTAAAAAACTTACCTCTATCACCGCCAGTCGCTTTAAGATTCCCAACAATAGTTCCAGTTCTAGCATCTTCTCTAACATGGAAGTTGTATCTCGGTTTGTCGAACAGCGCTGCACCCACACCGGCTGGCATAACATTGACATGGACTATCGCACCCTGAGCTGCGGTCAATCCACCACCGTCCGTCGCAGATATCTCCAGATCAAATCTTCCATTCGCTTGAATCAGCGCCGGTTTGATCACGAAGATCTCCCCAGAACTCCTGTCTATCCGAAAAACATCGTTGTCATTCCCACCAATGATCCTGTAGGTAATAGTCCCGAATCTTCCCGAATCAGCATCGTTCGCGGACACGGCGACGATCGGCTCGCTGGTCGATACCCTTCCTTCTTTCAGCGAGACGTTGTAATCTTTAACAGCGAACGCTGGTACGTTGTCGTTGATATCTAGAAGTTGGATCTTCACCATGGCCGTCGTGGACAGGCCCCCTGCGAATAAATAAATAATTGGTCTCTTAGTTGTCCGTGTATTGTTGTAATAGGTTGTTTAATTGACAGCCGCTTGATTTATTCCGATGTCAACACGTTTTCGCTACAAGTTTCGTGATAATAAAATGATTGGTCGTCATGTTGAGTTTTTGTTTTGAGATTTTAACATCGCTGCCCAAGGGCTGTATATTATGCGGTTCATAGATAAATCACAGGTGTACTGTGATCTTGTTGTGTTGTTTTTAATTGAAATGCTGAAGTCTAATGCGAAGTTGTACTCTATTATGTAAATCACAATTCAATGTTGAGATATGAGTATTAAAAATGCTCCTCCCTTATACGTAGATTTAATTAGAGTTTGATAATACTCTAATTAAATCTACTTTTCGATAACTATTTTATTGTTTCGTGTGACACTAAATATCTACTACTGAAAATGTGATGCTCTAGAAATAATCTCGCCTTCTACGTTCGTCTCATTATCCTGTCTTACGGTAGCCCCGTGTCAGCCCACTTGACAGTTTAAGCCTGTTTATTTTGGAGCTATCCTGTAACCAAATCACCGAAATTCCCTTTACGGACGCCGCGTCGAAATAAAAAGGTGCAGTAATAGTTGTGTGCCCTCCGCACATAAATCAGAGGGTCGCAGGGACAAGAGCCGACGGACACTTTCGGAATTTATTCGCCTGCCTGTGCGCCCGCGCCGGTGCTTTATTTCAAGCCCTATATGCATAGTATAGCTGTCACTGGCGAACTTATTGCTTCCAATTGGTAATGAATGGCCTGGGCCATCTTTGTTCTCCTTAACGCTAGAATTGTTGGCAATTGTTTTTTGTATCCTCTCGTTAATGAGGCGAGATGAGTTTGTTCCTATATGTTCTTTATTAACTTTGAGTTGGTTGTGGTTTGATTTTTTTATTGTTTTAAATGTTAAATGAAACATAGCAAATGGTGTAACTTTAATATTTTTCATATCTTATTGCATTTTACAAATTAAAATCGATTTTAAATTGAACATATTGACAGGACACAGCGTTACTTAAATTTGAAATTACATTGGGGAGATGCATGTAACATAAAAACTCGTCAATGACGTGTAGGACACAGTAGCTCAATAGGTTATACCGACAGCACGGAATGGTTGCCAGTTCATCGCCTGCCCGTATCGTAAAATATGTTTTATTACAATCTATATTTAATTTATAGCAAATGGTGTTTAGATTTATTACATTTACATTTCAATTAATTACACTTAAAAGAAATAATCAGATTGTCTATGAGCTTTGTTTTCTATTTTGATACAATCGCATACAGCATATGTTTGTAAGATCGTGTGTTTTACTTCACGCCTATTTTTTACGAGTACTTTACACTAGTAAAATACTCGTAAAAAATAGACAGACAGGGTACATGTGGGTATATATTTGTTCGTTATTTTTGTTAGTATACTCACCTCTATCAGTAGCGATGATCGGAAATTCAAAGTCGGCATTAGTTTCGTGGTCCAACGGAGCTGATATGCATAATTCTCCCGAGTCAGGTTTCACTGCGAACTGCGGCCTTGCTAATCCTTCCCCAAGAGTGTAGTTGACGATGGCGTTGACGCCGCAGTCTGGGTCAATTGCTGACATCTGGAAATAAAGAAAATATTGTTTAAGTGGGGCAAATAAACAAGATGTAGTTCTGTGACACTAACAATTGTTTAAAATAAGAAATCAGTAGTAGAGTAGTTCATACTATTGGTGCGTATTTAATGAAATACTTTTAACGTAAAAAGTTTACTTTAACTAAGACGTAACGTGTCGGATGCTTGTCAGTCTACATAATATAAAACTTTGCGTACTTGCTAATAGGAATAACAGAAACATTTAAAGCATATACCTATAGTTTAACCTTCAACTCAAAAAATCATACAAAATTTGTTTTACTACGAGCATTCTTACACATATAAAACCGTTTTTTTTTACTTTAAATAAGCTTATTGTCCTTATAGTATTGTCTGCAGATTACGCGAGTAGTTACACATTCAAATAAATCATTTTTACCAGTTTAAAAATCGAAATATCAAACGTTAACCTATTTTTGGTTTATTGAAACTATGGCCCTACGTATCAAGTACTTTGCAGCAGCCTCCCTTCGGCCAAGGATCTGTTTGGCTCTATTAACCGTTAAAAATCTTTTAATTAAATCTCATTGTACTTTTACTTTATCCTATATTATTGTTGGGCAGTTTGAAGCTAATGTAAGATTCTTTCTCTCAAACAATCTTCGTAAGAAACTCCAGCAGATGAGAAGAAGCAATTGTGATAAAGCATCGCCATTCGTTTCCAATTCCGCACAATCGGTATCTAGAAAGCCAATTTGTCGGGCGGAGCGTCCAATACCGCGAACACACAACAAATAATTGTCTAGCGTCGCGGAGATAGGGATCGTAATTAATTAGTATTTAATTCTACTTGATCCTCGGACTGTGAGGTCCGTCGGGTGGGCATCCCGCCGTTTCCCGACTGCCGCTTTTTACTCCTGCGATTTTATGATAATTGCGTTTCGTTTGCGGGTATACGTTTTTCATAGTGTTGTGAAAGATGTTAGCAATAGCTTATGAGAATAACGTTAGTCTCGTGGCTGTGTTGCCAGAGACACGGTAAAAACACCATCGTCATTTTAATATTTTTTATTAGTTGTTGTTTAGTCTTTAATCATTCTTATTAATTTAATGTTTTTAAGTTTTATTTCATGTTTTTTTTTAGTAGAAGAAGGTACACATTGGGTTTACTAGATGGAAAGTAAAACATCCCAACTATATAAGATGATACCCTAACACTGTATTTCAGATTTGGATTGGGATAAATCCACAGACTTCAAGAAGTTTTTACTTGTGGATGGTGGTCCCCCAGAAGGAATTTCGATACCAACCACCCATTTAAGTTCCAGATTTCCAGATGAAGTCCAACATGTTTCAGAAAACCGAATCCACGACTTGTTGATTATTAGCTATAAGTTGCTACCATTAGACCAATGATTCCGATCGAATACGTATATGAATGAAAACTAAATTGTAACTATTTCAAATTGTACATTGATTATTATAACCTGTAAAATTTAACCCTGAATATATTAATAAGTTTATAACAAATTAGAAAACAAACTTTTTGTTTACTAATCTTCGACCACAATGTATATGACAGATGTCTTGCAACTAATGTTCAAGCCTTTTAGAGCTCTTGTGAGCTTTCAAACGTCTAAAGTAAGACATCGATTTCGGCATATCAAAGTTCCAGCACGGTAAAGTGACCCGATACTGTCACGTTATCAATATCGAAATAAGCATTTCCAAATGTCTCCAGATCGCATCAGAAATAAAAGCAATCGGGAAGGTGTTAAGTGGCCAAAAAGACGAAGCTCCCGCTACATCTCAGATAATTAGCACGGAATCATCCTTTTTCCCATCGCGAGAAACGCGTCAAAAGCGCTCACAAGAAACTGTCGCTTACGCCGCTAGGAATTTGGTGTATAATTGCGTGAAATAATTTGTCAAGCTCGTATTACCGATCGTGGTTTGCATGTGACAACGTCCCTTGATTAATTGCGTCTGTGTGTAAAAAGATAAATTGTGTTTTGCGCCGGTGAACGATTATCACCCTTATTACTATACGATAGGGTTTACGATATCGGGATGTAATGTTAATATTAGCAATTTTACACGTATCCCCGTTGTCTTTATGCGGGTGAATTATTTCTCGGCTCCGCTGTTGATTAGAATTATTGCTTGTACCGGAAACGTTAGATAAGTCAGCATGAAACTTTACTCCGGGGCGAAACGAGAATCTATTTAGGATTATTAAATATTAAAGGAAAATAAGATCGCCTACATTATACTCACGTACTTGGAAAAGACTGGAAAGGTACTCTACTTAAAAAAGTGATTTAATTTAATACATATGTTTAAAGAACTTTGATGCCATATTTACAACTTATACTGTTTGTTTGTTTTTTTAGATTTTTACATACTTACCGTGTTAGGTTCTTTGACAAATCAGTAGCCGTTAGTCTCGCGGAGCTTTATGTAGAATACTATTTAAACACTATTCGTAATCAAGACTGAAATTTACGAAGCTTATTTTTTGGAATCAAAGAAACGTACAATACGATACAATACAATTTGTACTGATCTTTTAATCGTTATTCTTAAGTTTCGTATCTTGTAGATTAGTCTTAGTAATAATACTCAGAACAACAGCACGGAACGCTGTGGATGACGGTTCAAGTCCTGCCAGAGTCGTAATTTTGTTCAATTTTTAATCAGTTTTCATATAATTCAATTTTAATTTATCATTTGCGAAAATTGTTTAACATTTCAAGGATTAGTCTTTCAAAATAACATATGAAAATCTCGCTTTCCTCTGTCTGACCTGTACTTAAGTTGTTTAATATTGAAATTTCAATCGTTGACACTCGTTATTGCCGGCTACCTCTGCGCGAGATAAGACCGGCCACAATGAGATTTATTGCGTACTCCGCTTAACAGTTTTAAAACGTTTTTATAGAGGTGTTGCGCGATCGCCCCACACGTCTCAATTAGGGTCTTAATGGGCCCGCTAATATTTTCGCCTGAGACACCAGATTACAATCGACGCTGAGGCACTCCTATTTCTGTTTTATTCTCTGTCTCTACTGTGTATTTAATGGCAAGTTTAAAAGGAATATGCCAAGTGTTGTCTGTGATTCGCGTGAACCGTTTTAAACAGATAAAAATAAGAAATATATACTGTCTACAGTCTATAGTGTCTCCCCGTGACGACGGCTGCTGCAAAGCATCCGAAAAGTCGGGCCGAAGTTAAAAATCATTTTCAAATAAGTTTAACTAATATATCGCGTTTTAAACCGTTAAAATGTTTTATTTAAATCAAGAAATATGTTATTCTTAGTTAACGGTTAAGTCATTTTGTTTCAGGTTATACAGGTACAGTTTTGTTTGTAATAAAGTAACCGAAATATATTAGTTTGAAATAAGTTAACTCCTATATCTATTGTTAGCGTTATAAACAGCGAAAAGTAATTTATATTGTTAATATGTTAAAGATAAATATATTATTCAAAAGGTTTTTTAGTACACACTTGACACAGAAATCGAGCCGTGGCTTTACTTTAACTTAAATTATTTTATTTTTTGGGGACACCCTTGGCAGGACGGGTGATCAGTCAGTTATGATTTCACCCAAAAACTTAAATTATAGTAAAAGTACTTAAATTGTACATAAACTATAGAGTGGTCGTGTATAAAAAAAAATACGTAATTACGTAAGACTGAGAATTACTATTCAGTATATTAAACTTAGGTTTAATACAGTAAATGTTTAAATCTTATCTATTAATTTCTCAAAAATCTTAGAGATAAAATTTTGTCGTAATATTCACGCAGAACACGTTCAGTATTAAAGTAAACTTATTATACGTTATTAGATTTATGTGATGTAGAGCCCAACTCGTTTTAAAATCAGTCTTGATGATGGAAAAACACAAGAGAAATTGGTAATTGTGTTCAATCAACGATATGTTTGAGGTCTGACATCCACCGAGAATAACGATCTCGGGAAAAAATAATTGCTAAATGAATAATGCATTGTCAACATACAATTTTGTCGCATTGTTTGCTAGTGAGTTTAAAAGTTACCTCTTTATGCACCTTACATTTTTGACACTAAATTCTGATTTAATACAACACTTTAAAACTCGATAAATCGAAAATTCCTAAGATCCAAGAATGACAATAACAAGAACGGCTCCCCAATAAACAAGACAAAACTTTGAATCAGTTCTGTAAGGAGACCCTAGGAACTAGTTTTTCCAAATATCAATGAGGATAAAACAAAGAGCGACATCAAACGTTATCGTAGCAGGGTAACTTGACGTTTCCATCTCTCACCGAATTCTAACGATAAAAGCAGTAGAAATCGATCTCATCCGGCTCGAAGGATCATTTTAAAGTCCATAATTCTTGCACGTCAAATAACGAGACGCTAAAGCGCATCTAAATACAAAATAGAGCTTGTTTGCGATGCAAAACGTACAAATAATTTGTAAGAAAAATAATAAAGATTCTTACCCAGTTCGCTCGCTAAAGGACATTGTAATTCAAGCTGATTGGCACACAATAATGGAATCAAACATAAGCCATTTAAAAATTGCCCGCGTTAAAAGGAAAAAGGTTGCGTCGACAGCGGTTTAAGGAGCAAATAAAATTCGCCGAGGACAATACCAGGGCCCGATACAGAAGGATTTGTATGGCCATTAGTTGCAACTGTTGGACTGCTTAGATATGCGACTTTGATACTTATTGCGCTATTCTTGCGGCTGTTTATGGCGGGCGCGGGTGAATAATTACAAAATGAAAAACGTATGGCCCGCATTCCTTCGCTATCATCGCTTTCAAATTGTCTCGAAATGAAGCTACTGTAATTCGATAGTGGCCGGTGAAAGGTTTTCGGGAGTATTTATCGGACAGTTGGCTTGTGTACGGTGTAGCGCGTAACAAAACGGTTGCATGTAGCGTATAAACTACGTCTTCGGATGGTACATTGCAGTAGAGAAGAGTCAAAGCAACATCTCACAGCGCTTTTTAAATAAAAGT